TCACACCAACCAATTCACATAAAATGTTACAAGAAATTGCTTATGTAGTACTACAATTCTACAATTCACAAATAATGAAACACAACTAAAAAAACAAGTATAGCAAAATGACGATAAACGAGATACATATCATCTTTAATTTACAAAGTTCACTTGAAAATATAAAAATAAAATCATCAAATTAATGAATATAACAGAAAAAATCAATGTTCTTCATTGTTCTAGGTTAAGTATTAGTTCTAATTAAATTAATAGTTGAACCGCAGGAGTTAAGATTTAAACCATATTAATTAAGTTGTAAAATTGCACAAACGTGATACAACAAAAAGTTGTATACACTACATTACTAGAAATGAATAGTTATTAATGATTTCTAAAACTTTAACATTCTTTTAATACATACCAAAATATAATATAAATTATCTAAAACGAAAAGATAACAATATATATATATATATATATATATATAAACACATTTAGCTATTTTAGGGATGCATGAATACATATTTGAGCTATAAAATTGTTGGTCTCTAAAATAGATTTATTGGTATGGGGAAAATATAAAAAATTTCAATGCATTATTTTTGAACGGTCTGGTTCGGTATTTTTCGGTACTCAAATTCTAGAACCGGTCCCGTACCCGTTTCAAATGGTACGGTTTCGGTTCGGGATAAAAATTTATAGAACCGTTTGAATACCCGATATTCGGTTCGGTACCATTACGGGCCGGTTCGGTACCGGTTCGGTTCGGATTTTATGCCCACCCCTAGAATAAAGGATCAGACTGGTTCTCAAAATTGCATAAAAAGAGTCAAATAAGTCCTTACTGTCCAGCCGTCGCCATTTGGGGCGATTCCCGATGAAATTTTTTGACGAAATATTTTGAGCATCTTATTCATTAAGTCTAGTTTACTCTTACCAAATTTCAGCTAAAACTTCAATCGGGAAAGTAGGGGTGGGATTTTGGAACCGGGAACCGTAGAACCGATTGGAACCGAACCGTTAACAACATCTAGGAACCGAACCGTTAACAATTAATACCTTATTTGTAGGAACCGAACCGAAACGAGTTACAACGGTTCGGTTCCTGATTCCTATAAAAAATATATGCACGGAACCGTTAAGGAACTATTATTAAAAAATTAAAAAATAAAATAATATTAGTAGTAGTAGTAGTAACAATAATAATATAATAGCAATAATAACCACCACCACAATAATAATAATAAAACAATATAAGATATTTAACTAACAATTCTAATTTAATCAACAAAAACGAAGTAATAAATAATGTACATGAGGTTGATATAATACATTAAACTCCTTTCTACCAATCAAGTTTTGTTCCATCACATAAATTTTATAAATACAAAATAACTCAAATAACTTGTAGTTGATTGCACATGTTTTACTTTACTATTTTCATGATATTTCTAATTATTAGATTTATTATGAATCAATAGAATGTAACAATGTTTTTATATATCTATACATGCGAACTCAATGTATTTTTTTATGTTTTGAAAGACTTCAAGTAGACGTCCTATTCTTTCTACTATGATGACGAATAACCTTCATCGCTCCCACACTACTATGATTTTTTGTGTTTTATTTATTACATGAAAATTTAAATCATCTTTTGATGTTTGAAGTGATTAGAGCTTCAAATAAAATTTTAATACTCGTGTTTTGAATTTTCGACGTGTTTATGTTGTTTGTAGAAAGTAAATTATGTATTAATTCTTAGTGAGAAAAAATTATTCTAGGAACCGGTAAAAGGAAGAACCGAACCGTTTACTACCGGTTCGGTTCCATAACGGTTCTTGATTTTTTATATAGGAACCGAACCGATTTCATTAGTTAAAACTTTTATAACGGTTCCACTCATTTTGAGTAAAAACCGAACCGGTCCCAGCCCTACGGGAAAGCATTCAAATGAATTCTTGAAGATAACTGCGTTTTTATCTTCAAGAATTCATTTGAATGCCTTCCAGATTGAAATTTTAGCTGAAATTTGGTATGAGTAAACTAGACTTAATGAATAAGATGTTCAAAATATTTCGTCAAAAAATTCCACCGGGAACTGCCCCAAATGACGAAGGCCGGACAGAGCCTCCTATATAGGGACTTATTTGACCATTTTTATACAAATTCGAGTATCACTCTGATCCTTTTACTCAAAAAAGAAGTATTGATTGCCCATATTTGTAAATACTAAATAGTACTTCGTAAATGGTACTCCCTCAGCTCCATCCAATTTTATATGTCTTACTTTCTCTGTTGGGTTGTTCCAAAATAAGTGTTATCTTTCCCTTTTCGGAAAGAAATATGTGGTTCATAACATTTCACTTTGTTATACTCAAATCTCAACCATAACTTTTACCTTTTCAATCACTTTCTTAAAAATTGTGTCAAAACAAAAGGAGACAAATAGGACAAATGTAGTTTTGTTCTGTAAATATACTCTGTATATGATGAATACAAAGACGTACTAGTAAATAGTACTCCCTCCGTCCCGTTGGAATGTTCCCACTTTCCTTTTTTGGATGTCCCAATGGAAAGTTCTCATTTCCCTAAATGGAAAGTTATCCTACATCAAAATAGTGTCAAACAGTGCATAACAGTGTCAAACAGTGTCAAACAGTGTCCAAACAGTGTCCAAACAGTAAAATTTACCCCATGGTAAGTTTATTTCCTTAATATGTGTGTAGGTCAAACCGGGAACATTCCAACGAGACGGAGGGAGTAATAAAGTTATATAATGATTATGGTGTCATGTGTGCAATGAACGACAACTTTTATTAGATTTACACACATAAAGGGTCTTTTCTTAAATGGGGCGGAATCACACATATCCATTTATTATTGGAAATAATAAGTCCGGGTTTGTGTAAACGGAATTATATGTAAACTCATACTTGTCGTCAAATTTGAATGCATTCGATTCCAAACCATCATTTCATTTTTCACAATAATAAAGATAAACCAACTATAATATCTGCACTAAGCAACATATATCTATTAATATTTGTTTTTACACATAGTCAATTCAACACTTACATGCCAAGTGTTATTTTAAGGAGTCAGTTGTATGTTGTCATGCATGTTAAGGATATGATCACCTTAAACTAGACATGAGTTGATAATTCTTATACTCCGTATGTCAATATTGATAATATATATGGTCTACACGAAACTTTTTTAAAAGCTGTGATCATTTTTGTACGGTGCCAACATATATGATAGTTCATTTTTTATAAAGCTTCCTTCGGGCCATCAAAGAAGACACTTAAATTGTGGAATCATGCTATTTCATTATCAAGTAGTACATATTATTACAATTTTTCTTGCAATTTTTCATACGATCTTATTTTCTTCTTTTCCCACATACTACAATTATATAATCATAGTTACAATATATAAACTCTACCATATTCTTTTATTTAAAATAATTTAATATTACATATCATCACAACAAAAGTTAATTTTAAACAAGTTGTTAATTCCAGCTCTAGATGTACCCGTGCATCGCACGGGTATTGCGTCTAGTTATATGTAAACCCATACTTGTTGAAAAACACGAATCCGTGTCAGATTTGGGTCTAGACCCAACCTATTGACAGACCTAATTTGATATTAGGGCTAGCATTCTAAAGAGAGAAAATGAAAATCAGAATTGGGAAATTGGAACATTATGAAGAAATGAATTAAATTGAATCAAAACCGAAACCGGGTAAAATTGCAAATTATATGGTACAAGTTGTACCAAAGGCATGGTACATCTGGTATTTTTGTAATTAGTTGTAACTTGTATTGTATATTAGTAATACTATACAATAGAGTACCTAGTATATTAATACTAATTACAGTAATTAGTAAAATAGAGTAAGAAGAAAAATGTAGATCCACCTTTTTTTGTCGGTCCTTTTAGTCATCTTTTAATTTACTCAAAAATGATGGAGTACGGAGTTCTATTGCTTCAACTCCAGTATTTTTAATTAGAATATTTTTAAGTGGATTGTTGAATGAATATTCAATTGATTTCAGTATAAGTATTTAGATTGAGACTCTTTTAACTTTTTATAATGATGTGGGAACTCGACTTTACATTTAGAACTGATGCCTCCAAATTTATTGGATGGCTTTGTTTACACTTAAAAATGACGCACATATAAACAATCAAAATTAGAATTGTGTGGTTAGTTTTGAATTTAGAAGGAATGTGAGCTACATTATTGTAACCAAATATGATACAGATATGAGAAAAGGAATAGTGAACAAATTAAACGACAGAAATGTGGAAGAGAAATTGGAGAGTAAGATGTATGATATAAAGCAAAAAACTAACATATACTCCCTCCGTCCCGGAAAAACAAGTTCCCGAGTTGACTTTCACACATTTTAAGGAAATAAAGTTACTGAGGGGTAAATTTTATTATTTGGCACTATTTCGACACGGTTTGGCACTGTTTTGCACTGTTTGGCACTGTTTTGATGTAGGATAACTTTCCATTTAGAGAAATGGGAAGTTTCTTTTTAATTTAGACATCCAAATAAGAAAAGTAGGAACTTGTCTCCGCGACGGAGATAGTATATATTTAAAAAACAGCAAAGGCTACAAAACTGGTATTGTCACAGCTAGCCATTAATTATAAAATGCTGTAGAAGAAAATTAAGACAAGAATGAAGAAGCATTTCGACAATGAATAATAATAAACAAAAAAAGTGTGGAACAGATGGAGCAACTATAAGTGCATAATTCATCATATTAACAATACAGATTTGTCACTATTCATGTTATATTTGTAGTATTAAACTCTTAACATATAGTGTAGCCCTACATATATCTTGTGAATGAACAAGATAAGATGACTTGGTTTTTTCTTAATTGATGAAATACTCTAAAAGTTGTATTTTTTTTAATATGGTGTGGGACATGATATGACACAAAACAAAAACATTAAACCTAGTCTTTCATTCAAAGAGCAAGAAAAGTGAGGTTCCACTACCATCATACAATACTATATTTTCCTACCTATATCAAAGCCTGAAACGCAATCTCTTGTGTGCCTGCCAATTTCTAAAAGCCACAAAGGCAGTGACAAAAATGATTGCATGCTAACTAACCCTTCCCTTGATTACCCACCATATCTCCTTTCTCATTTCTTACCCATCCATTTCAAACCTTCCTTCCCTCCCTTCTCCCAATTCCCCCACAGATGTCTCAGATCACTATACAATCTCCCAAACACTGCTCTAAGAGAGAACTTAGCATTCACAAGTGCAAATTCAACAAGAGGCTCTTCTCTACCTTACTCACCTTTCTCATCTCTATCCTTTCCCTCATAGTCCTTGTTTGGATCACTCTACACCCCTCGAAGCCCGAATTCTCCCTCACCGCCGTTAACATCGACCAGCTCAACCTCACCGCATCCCGCCTCCTTTACTCCTCCATCCAACTCACCCTCCTTTCCAGGAACCCAAACAAGAAAATAGGAATATACTATGATGAAATGCATCTTTTTGCATCTTATAAGGGGCAGCAGATCACAGTTTACAGTTATGTCCCTCCTTTCTATCAAGGGCATGAAGACACCAATCTTGTTTCGGCAGCGTTGACCGGGAGTGGACTTCCTGTGGCCCCCTCTTTTAGCTATGAAGTGGAGAAGGATCAAAGCATTGGGAGGCTTGGGTTGAATGTTAAGGCGGGTGGGAGGCTGAGGTGGAAGGTGGGAACTTGGGTTTCTGGGAAATATAGGTTTAATGTGAACTGTGCTGCTATGATGATGCCCTTGGGAGCTTCCATGGGATCAAGTTCTACTAGGCTTGGGCAAGGGACTCAATGCTCTACTACCCTTTGACCAAGTTGACCACCTCTATTACATCTTTCTCTTCATTGTCTCATCAAAATCTCTCTCATACCTCTAATACCTCTAATGTCCATAATTTTCTTCGAAAATACTAGTTGTACACAACACCAGTCAATTTGATGTGTACACGAAGCATTATTGTATTTTCTTTTACTTTCCCTTTGTTGTTTTTGTGGTACGGTGATGGTGGGGGTGGGGGTGGGGTGCCTTTCCCTTTTTTGCTCTTATAAAGAATCATGATGTGGTAAGCATCGTTTGGTGTTTGTGTATGCGATTAAATGAAAAGTAAGAACAGTAATGGAAAGGATGATAATGGAGTGCAAAACTTATGTCTTATCTTGTGAGGTCTTCATTATTGCATTCCTATTTGTGTTGGGTGGATACCATTAGTATATGCGCATCACCTTTCCGTCTCATTTATTTATTTAATTAGTAACCCAACATATGTGCAAAGTGTAATCTGCGGGTAAAATAGTTGTTGACTTTTGCTATGTTTATTTAATTTAGTAATAAAGGTGAAGAGTAATATAATATATGTCCGCTTTTTAAAGATTGTTACGTTATATATAGTACAGTTCCGATCTAAATTTGGAGTTATTAATTAACAAAAGTAACAAAGTAACGTAGACATGTTTACAACAACAACGATGCTCAAGTGTCATAAAGGCTCCAATCAACATTGAAGTAAGGAAGGTCAAATGTAGGTGATAATATCTTTGTGCTAAAGCACAAATAAATTGTTTTCGAATAACTCATTGTGAAAAACGCGTCGATGATCATATGGATTGATTAAAATTTCATAACAAAGAAGTACAAACAATTTATTAAGTTATTTTGTTTTATTCTATCATATTCCCAAGTTAGCCAAAAAATAGTTAGTCTTTAACTACATTGGAAATGATGGAGAGCATAGATATGTTTAGTGAAAAAGATAAATGATTGCTAGCTGCAACAATTTAATGGGAGTGCTTAGTAATTCCTATTAAATAAAAAGATACTACCTCCGTACGCGGTCGCTAAGATTGACAAAGGCAGATTTTAAGAAAAATAGAGTTATGTGATTATAATGATCGAATTGATAAAATGAGAATAAAGTAAGAATGAATTAGAATTATACAAATATTACCAAGTATAGTATGTGACAAATTTGGTGAGACAAAACAAAAGGAAAAAATGGAACAATTATAGTGACACGGATCGAGTAGTCACTCCGAACCCTTTTTAACATGTAAACTTTTCAATACACAAAGACCATTTTGTTACCTGGCGTCAGAGCACGTCTGATTCCGGTAATGGGGTTTTCGACTTTTCAGTTAACAATTGACCTCTTTAATTTATAAATTTGTATCTTAAATTTCATCCATTCAAATTACTTAGTAATCAAAATAAATGAAATTTTTGTTACTTTTGTGATTGAATTTCATGAGGACTATTGCGCTATTCACCCAAACATGAGAAAGGTTAATTAAAGTTTACTCTTTCATTTAATGGTTGAGTGAATAACGCAAAAATATATATCGTTTTCACTTAAATTAAAGTTTCAAAACATTGATCAGCATTAGTCTTATCTTTGATCAAGACTCCTGCATAAAACAAGCTAAGCACTGTGTAACAAATTAAATTAGGAGTAACGTACTTCATTAGCTTTTTCCTTATATATCCATATGAGCTCATCCCACCCAATGAAAGTATGAAACGATACAAATTGCAAGTTCTCGTATGCCAGTATCTCACTAGAAAATTTAACTGGAACCTAATATTATGGGCCTGGTGATCTAACATAATATATTACTATACTCAATAAAGAATTATAAACATGTAAGCCAACATATAAAAGAAGCATTGTTGACCGACTCCATCCCTAACACGATGATGGGATGATAAACGGTGAAATGCTAGTCACATGTACCCCAATGTCTCAAAGGCTCCCACCTACCATGGGGTAAGGGAGTCCAATGTACGCAGTCTTGTCCCGGTACTGAAGCACAGAGAGACTGTTTCCGGACGATTCATAGTGAAAATCGCGTCAAAATTTGCATGGATCGACTGCTGCTTCATAACAAAAAAGCACAAACAATTTAATGAGTCATTTTACTTTATTTCATCATATTCCAAAACAAAAAAATGGCGAGTCTTTAACTCCATTGCAAGTGATGGAAGTTTAGAAGTTAATTAGGTATTGTTATTAAATCTATCATACACCGGTAATATAAAATGCAAACCAACATATACTACAACGTAATTATTTGGATTAATTACGAGATATTACCCAAAATGGGACTAAAAAAGTTTGGAAATTCCAAAATAGGACTTCCATGTTTTTATTCCCAAAATAGGACTAATTACTGTCATGTTTTGACAGTACCAGACTTCAAACATGGCAGTATTTTCCAAATTTGGCAGTAATTAGTCCTATTTTGGGAATAAAAACCTGACAGTCCTATTTTGGAATTTTTAAACTTTTTTAGTCCCATTTCGGGAACTTTCCCATTAATTACTACTTACTAGTTACGACACTACAATTAGGATTTCCGCTCGGCGATTAATTGCTAGCCCTTAATGCTCTGGTATATATTCTTGATGTTGTTATAGTTTGATGACAATGCTAAAAATGCATAAGGCCTCTACAAGACTACAAGTACGAGGGCCAAAGTCTCACTCCCAACTTGTGAATAAAGTCCAATTTACATCCTCACATCTAACTGTCCGATCGGTGTTGGAGAGCTCTTACGGATGTGGTGTCATCCTTTGTTATAGTTTGATGACCGAAACAACATCCTTTTCTACACTAAATTGGAATAATGACACACATTTGTCCCAAGCATTTTTCTTTTTTTACAAAAAGAATCAAACATGGGCTTCCGGTTCCTAAGCATATGAGATTCAAGAGTGTCCGACCAAATCCAATAAAGACTCAATCTTTATTCATATCCGTATATATTTGACGTCAATAGTACAACGTTACTGGCAAATCACTATGCTTTCCAGCCAAATTTGCTTTTCAAATGCACAAATTAAATTCATCCCTAAACTCCTAGCTTGCTGTGTCAAATTTGGGTAATGTGAGGTGGAATGTTTTCAAAAGGACAAACATAACATATTAACATGACAGTGCCACAACAATTCATTTTTTGCAGATAGGAAAACACACCTGAAGCATAATAAACATCACTCTGAAGAAAAGAAAGCACTAAAGATGTTAGGCCTTGATGGGGCAGGCTGTTAGTTTCAAGCTTTTGGGTTTTTATAAATCAATACTGTATAGTGTATATGTTACTTCGAAACTATGATTTTATCAAAACTATGCACTTACACTAACTATATTAATTTTGGAAAAGCTCCAAATAAAAACAGAAACCATATTTCTCATTGTAAAGTATATGCTCCAAGTCTCCAAATGAAGTTCCAAGTATGACTCACTAGACAACTTTGTGTGTTAACTTTTTAAAGAAGTCTTCCACTCAAACTCTAAAAGTATGGTAGAGTAGAGGAAGTGAATATATATTTAATGCCATAGTAATGATAGAGATTAAAGAATTGTTTACTGTTGAATTATTGACAAACAAACATCTAACTTAATAGTGAGACATTTACAAAATGAAAGCAAGAGCAGTATTGGAGGAAATAAATTCAATTAAAAAAAGGGAAAGTTCCGAAATAGGACTAAAACAGTTTGAAAATTCCAAAATAGGACTGTCATATTTTTTATTCCCAAAATAGGAGTAATTACTGTCAAGTTTGGAAAATACTGTCATGTTTGAAGTCTGGTACTGCCAAGACATGACAGTAATTAGTCCTATTTTGGGAATAAAAACATGACAGTCCTATTTTGGAATTTTCAAACCTTTTTAGTCATATTTCGGGTAACACTCTTAAAAAAATAACAAATAGAATTTTGATTAGGATGAGAATTTTGATTCTGTTTTTGCATGACAGGTTCATGGTTTGGCTGTCCTTTTTATATGGCTTCCAGTACATGCGCCAGCGCCATAATTTTGATCTCACACAAATACTGATCCATGGTTTGGTTGTCCTTTTTGTATGAGATAGCATTCACTTCAATTCCATGGATTTAGCCAACCGTTGCTATATGGCCGTAGGATTTTCAACTCATGAACATCAATTACAATATCACGGGTAAGTGTAACAAAACGCAAGGAACAAACAGTTTGATCCAATTTAAGCCAATAATAATATTCAGGGTTCATAGTTTGAAACTTATAAAAATCATACCTACACAGAGGTGGGGCCGAAAGTGTGAGACCAAAAAAGACTCAAACTGAATTCGCCAAGGAAAATAATCTTACACAACCAGCAACTTGGTGGTAACAATTTAGTGATAGATGGAGCACTAAAACTTATACCTTGAACGAGAGAAGCAAACGACATGAGCAACTGTGATGCCATGAAGCGACGTCCAACAGGGGACGATGGAAGATTGAAGAAGGCCAAGAGTGTTGGAGAGCGTGGGTCATGTAAATCGATCTCGGAAAGCGAGTCTGCTGACATGAATTTCGTCTGCTCACATGTAAAAGCCGGTGGTATCCAGGAGCTTGGAGCCGGGTGAACAAAGGCAACAGGGTTTGGCGAACTCAATAGTAGACTTAAGACGGAGGATGGTGCCATTGTCAGCGACGGGGACAGTGAGAGAGAGGGCTGCGCTGTAGCAGCCGCGTTCAACATCGGTAGTTCTAAGGCCACCGTAGACATGGCGATGGAAAACCTAAGGGCGGTTGCACGGCTGTTGATGTAGAACTCATTGTACCAGAAAAAAGTAATTCTAGCTCTTGATACCACGAGAAAATAATATCAGACTTACCAGACTTAGTCTTTAATATCATATACGTAGTATATAATGAATAGAGTCCTAAATACATTGGAGTTCCTACTAAATATAGAAATCCTATTTCAGGTATAAAATACATTATTAGTTATATGATATATTAAAACTAAGCACTTAAACTAACTAATTAACCATATTAGTTTTGGAAAAACTCCCAATAAAAACATAAACCATTTTTCACATTTTAATATATATGCTCCAACAACAGTCTAGAAATTAACTTTCAAGTTTGACTCCACTAGACAATTTTTTGCGTTAACTTTTAAAAGATGTCTTCCACTAAAAGTATGGTAGAGAAAGTGAAAATTTAATGTCATACTAATATGATAGAGATAAAAGAGTTGTTTACTGTTAAAATATTGACAAACATCCAAACTTAATATTGATACATTCACAAAAAGAAAGCAAGAGCAGTATTGGAGGAAATAGTTTCAATTAAAAAATACGTAGTGACAAATTGAATAGAATATCGGCAACCACACCAATTTATTCTGCTAGAGTGTGCAGATTAGGGTGAGAATTTTGCAGGGCTAGTTCAACTTCAATTAGATTATATTTTTTCCAAGTAATATTAAACTGAAACAAAAGTGAATACAAACCAAGGCAACTGGATAATCTCGAACACAAATACAGTTTAACAAGGTCTAATAATTTTTAAAAAACAAACAAATCTAAATCACATTGTACAAACGAATCTGAAGTGTTATGGCAAAACCACAGGTCAAGGATGTCCTTGTTCAACAAATTATATATACTCATTCTAAGCCGAGAGGAAGGGTTGTTTGGGAATTGACGTTTTACCGAAAATGCCTTATTTCAACACGTTAAACACCGCATATTGCAGCGGGTTGGGGCAGAAACCCCGAAAATCAAACGAAACGGAAGGCATATAACTATATACTACGTACTCCGTAAGTTATTACGGAGTATAACATGAAACAATCTCATTGACAAATACCAAACACACTAACTTAATAATAGTACATACCAAACACAATAATTGATCAATTGATGACCAATAACCCAGCACATACACTCCTACAAATCTAGTAAAGATGCAAACTTTGTTATCTATGTAGCTCACACTTTAAGCATCTGCAACTTGTTAGAAAACGCAATGGAAATCCAATCAGGCTGGGCCGCAGACCACTGGAGCTGATTAATTTCGGATCCAGCCCAATACATAGACAACGGATCAATCCCATTTGGGCCTGCAACGGTGGGCAATTCCCAGATAAGGGCCTGACCATCATCTCCACCAGAGCATATGTGCCTGTAGCTCTGTGGGGCCCAAGCAATCGCATTCACGCTGCCGTTGTGCCGCTCAAGCTCCGCCACCGGCATCGCCGGCGACCTTATATCCAAAATCACAATCTTATTACTGTCCATTAAAATGGTCGCCATATACCTCAGGTCTTGCTTGTTCCAAGCTAACCTCAACAATGGCGTCTCCGGCTGAGGACTCTCGTATATGATCGTGGAGTGTTCTTTATCTCTCAGATCGAAGATCCGGACCGACCCGTCGGCGGAAACCGACGCGAAAACTCCGGCCTGCCCCCAGGCTATGTCGTATACCTCTTTGTCGTGGGCTATCAATTGGGTTTCTACGACCCCTTTCTCGATATCCCAGATCGTACAGGTGGTGTCGATGCTAGATGTCCCGATCCGCCGCGGCTCAACCTCGTTCCAATCGAAGGAGGTCAGCGGGGCGGAGTATTCGCTCGTTTTGCTGTTATTGAAAGTGGAAATCGGCTCAACGGAAGATTCCCGGACTTCCCAGAGCCGGAGGTAGTCGCCGGAGGAGACGAGAAGGTCGGCGGATGTAGGGTTTGGGTGGAACATCAGCTTCGTCGGTGGGTAAGGGTGATCGAAGGCTAGCCCCGGGTTTGGCTTGAGAGTTACAGTGTCTTCTTCGAAGGAGAGAATCTCGACCCGGTTTTTGTACTCTTCGATGAAGCTGCCGACGGCAATGTTGCGTCGCCGGAGGCCGTTGGTGGCGGAACCGAAGGAGGACACCGCCATGGCGAAAATTGGGTATGGAGAATCATAGGTGACAGTATTGTCAGATCGGAGGTTCGATTCCTGAGTTGAATTTTCCATCTTTGCAGAGAAAATGGGTTAAAATTCTGAAGTTCACTCCGGAGAAACGCCGGCGGTTTATTGACCGTTTGCTGGCTTTCCTGTGGTGGTCGATGTGTAACTACGAACCAAAATAAGTTCAAGGGTGTAAAGCGTCATTCCAAAGTGGGCGACGTTTTGACGCAGTCATTGTTGACTATTTTGGGCCTTGACTCGCTTATTTGGCACGTACACATAGTTTTGCTCACTTTTGCCAAATCTCGACTTAGGTCCAGCCCAATACTTCACAAATCGAGACTTTGGAATCAAGAATCAGCAAACTGCACTGTTATGACCTGGTTCCATTTGGTTCCAATATTAATTAGTTACTCACTCCCTGTCTCGTTACTCCTTACTCTTACCTACATTGATGAATGAAAGATATCATGTGCAGTTACAGACACGGAGTTAAAACTTTGTGTCAGTGGAAGTATTCTTTAACTGATTTTCTCTCCAACACCATTATTATTACTCCTTCCGTCCCAAATTATAAGATACTTTTCGGTTTACGATGTTTGACCGACGATAAAACAAACAGATCCCTGTATGCACTGAAATTAATTTTAGAAAAAAAGAATTACATATTCAGAAACCACATTAAAACCGCTACAAAACCTGCAAAAAATAATTCAAATTTCATAAAATTTTGATATATAAAGTAAGAGATTAAGAGTGATTTGTGTTGACCAAGTGAATAGTAAAGACATCTTATAAAATGGGACAGAGGGAGTACATGGTTAAAAAATGAAATCATAGACTTTTAAAAGATTTAAACTTTAAAACAATATGGATAATTGAAAACCTGGAGAAGTGATGGTATTTATTAATGCCCCCTACAACAACAAACTTTGATTGGTTTACTTGTATTGGTTTGTGTGAGTTTGTGTTTATTGTTTGTGATTGGTTTTACATGTTGTAGATGAGTGATTCACAAGGTAATACCAAAAGAAAGGATTATAAAACTTGGACCATAGATGAGAGTAATGTCTCTTGCTTTAGTTAATGGTTGAAAGTGCCAAACTTGGCTTTCATGATATAAATGGTGTGATAAGTAAACAAATGGTAGAGACCTGACTCTTCCCTAAACTTAAGGAAAAGCTTGGTTATGAAATTAGTTTTAATCATTACCAAAGTAGAGTAAAATGGTTTAAAAAACAATACTCCAATTACTCTCAACTTATGTGTCACAACTCTGGATTTGGATGGGCTGCGACCACAAAGAAATTCACTGCTTCTGAAGAAGTATGTGCTGACTACCTGAAGGTGGGCATTTTTTTATTCATATGTGTGTCTATTTTATAACATCATAATAACAAATTCTATATTTTTTTTATATATCAGTCACATAAAGAACATGCACACCTTCGGTCGGAACTTGTCCGGACTACGAAGATTTGAGAATCACAGTGGGAAATGGAACTGCAACTGGGATGGGTGCAATTGGTCTTGGTGAAAATACAGATGTCACAGTGTTAGGAGTAGATGATGAATCCGGTGGAATTGATGGGATTGATGGATTATTTTTTTTTATCCAAATACTAACACGTTCACAGCGGGTGAAAAATGCATCATCCCACTATGAGGACTCATCATATTTCCCACAAAACGGTAGTAGGAATGTAGAGGATCCACTTTCATCAAGCAATAGAGCTAAAGGAAAAAGGGGTAGAAATGATTTTGAGAACAATAGAAGAACAAAGGAGCCTCATAGTCACAGAGAGGTTTTTTTGAGCTTGTCAATAGGTTTAATAAAATTGTTCAGAGTTTTGATAAAATTTGTTATTTAATGGAGAAGAGAGAATCAATAGAGAGTGATCTTTTTGGATGCTATGAAGGAGACCCCGGGACTAACCGACGAGGATGGCTTTAGAGCTCTTGATATACTTAATACAAAAGCAAAACAAGATTTCTTTTTGAAGATGACTCCCGAACAACGCTATCATTGGATCATCAATCTTTAAACAATTTCATTAGATTCATCCTCTAGAGATATCTAATAATAAATAGGCCATGGTTGCGTATTTTCTTTATCTATTGGTGGAGTGATTTAATTTATTTGGATTGCAAGGTGCTATGGATTATTTGAACTATTTTATGTATTATCCATTAGAATACTTTTATTTTAAAATGTATCATAGTTCACTATTTAAAGTTTATGCCTTTTTTCTTCTTTTAGCAATGTGTGAAACAGATATGTATGGAGCAGATGAAGATGAGGTTGAGTCTTATGAGACTCTTAAGATATTGCTAATGACAATAGAAGCTGTAACTTACTTGATATACAATGTCGCTTCAAGAATTAATGATGAACCTGTTCCACGTTGATAAGTCCATTTTTGTACTTATTTTTCTTATCAAATTTAAGTGATTTTTGATCGAAAGTAGAAAGAAAAGGCATGTTTTAGACATTTTGGTTCAAGTTTCATGAAATCAGGTGAAAACCACATTCATAATATGTTTGCCGGAATTTCGGGTCAATTGAGCACAAAATGAGTCAATTTGAGTAACAAATGAATTCATACCGGAAGAAGCAAACATTATATCAAAGTGGTCCAGAAGACAAAATTGAAGAACACAAAATAAGTAATAAGTCAGGCAAAGAATCTCACAGGCGGCCAGTTAGGCGGCCAAAATGGAGGCCTTCGCGGCCGCCTACGGAAAAAACCAAAAGTCACGCTTTGGCTCGAAACGGGAAGAAGACCGAAGGCTGCCGACACTGGACGGAAGGCGCCTTCGGTGACCGCCTACGGCACAAGGCGACGACCGTCGGTGCGAAAAGAGGGCAGGCGGCCAGCCAGAAACGGCAGGCGGCCGCCCTCCGTGACCGCCTGCGGCGAAGTGACGCGCGGCACGTTCCGTTGCCGGTGAATGGACGGAAGGCGGCGGTAGCAAGGCGGCAGGCGGCCGCCTGGTTGGGCGCCTACGGGATTTTTCGTCCTACAAATAGCCCGATTTTTGCTGAACTCAAACACACCAATTTCAAGCCCAAATCAGATCAAAAAGGGCGTCTTCTTCCTCCTCTAAGCTCGGATTTCCACCATTGTTGCACCTTCAACTTCAAACTTTCATATCGTTCTCATTTTAGCTCCAAATTGTGAGTTCTTTATATGTATTTTCATCCTTTCAATGAGTAGAATCTGAATCTGTACTTAGTTTTTTCTATCTGTGCTTCTAAAATTTTCAGAAAATTATTCCACTATTTCGCATTTTCTTCTTAAATTTGAATAAAATAGTTGTTGACATTAAATCCATTCCAATTAATTATATAGTTGTTTACTAGCCTCAAGGTAGTTATTTATCAAAACAAAGTTAATTTTTACGAAGTAGAAGTAAATTTTAATTAATTCCGGCATTTAGTTGTTATTATTGCATAAATTAAATTAAATACTCAAAAAGGTAAAAAAAATTAGTTTCTGTCCTAATTCCAGTTAAATTCACAGTAATATCACTCCCAGTAGTCAATATAAAATTTAGAACGAATTTAGAATAATTTTAGTTGCTTTGTGCATTTTCTAGTTAAAATTGGGAAAATTATCAATTAGTTGTTAAAATTGGATTTTAGGTTCAAAAATTCGTGAAAAATTCCAGAAAGTTATACTTTAGTTTCTACAAGTTTATTGTTCCAGAATATAAGTTTTTCTATCATCCATGTTTAATTCCTTGTTAATGTTGAATATATTCATTATATTGTTAATTGTTAAAATGATCTTTATTAGCTAAATTTGTTTTGGGCATGAATTGACTAAAGGAATATGGATTGACTTGTTGACAAAAAAAAATTAGGGATTAAAATTAATAATGGGGACTAGTTGTTTGAAATGATGAAATAGTAATTAATAATTGTTAGCCATATTCATTAATTAAATTCTTGGAAAATTATCTCTAACTTGTCTATGAGATTAAAAAATAATTTAAGCCAACCATATTCTAGCACATTAATAAGGCCTAGAAATAGGACAATTCAATGAAAGGGATTTACATCTTGTCTATGAGAGATAAATTCAATTGCTTAAATAATGATTTTAACTAGTTAATGAATTTGGCTATTTTTATTAATTAAAATATTGGAGAATTATTTCTACCTTGTCTATGAGGTTAGAATTTAATTCAAGCCAACCATTTTGAACACATTAATGACACCTAGAAATAGGATAAATTAATGAAAATAGTTTCTATTCTTGTCTATGAGGAAAGAAATTATTAGTCCAATTTTAGTTTTAATTTCCCTAATTACTAGGTCCAAGAATATATCCATTTCTAATTACTCAATTCATTGCCCTTATTTGCATCAATCCATTTAAGTTTAATATTATATTTCTTCCTTTAGTCTATTTTTGAGCCATCATTAGTATTTGCACAATTTAATTTACTTTCTTTTCCAAAAAGTAGTTTAGAAAATCAATCAAAAGTTTTAATTTGGAAAACTTCCAATAATTTGCGATAACCTGTGACTGGACTTGAAATCAAGAACTTCTTCCGCCATTCCTCGAGAGACACGATACTCGGGGAAAAACCGAAAGGTTAGACTCCGTTTTACTACAACGCCACGAAAGCGGTCATCACACGTCCATTGACTCGCCGACCTGTGACCTCTGTTAGTTAATACGCGTATAAAACACGTATAATACGCTTAAACGTATATACACGTATAATTCACCCGTTTACGTTTTTTTTCAAAAATTCATTAAAATACGCGTATTTTAAAGGTAAAACGTATAATACTCGTATAAATTGTACTTATACGTATTTGAATAAAAAAAAGTCCAAATAAAGAGTAAAGCCTAACTCAAATCATATATACCTTTGAACCAAAGCCCGGCCCCTGCGATAAGGTCACAAAAAATATTAATAATGTGGACTATAGTACAACTGTCCAATCAACTAATAAAGTGCCGAAGGTTTACCAAAGCATTAGACCGAGTAGCGTACCGTAGTAGCATAATAGCAGGCGGCATTGATAAGAGTAAATCCTGGTAAATCCAACATCTTCATTGGTGGGATGAGGGACTTTGAATTACAAAATATACTGGACCTAGTTGACTATGGGCAAGGTACATTTTCAGTTAGATACCTCGGAATCCCCCTTGCCCTGTT